GTGTGTGTGTGTGTGTGTGTGTTTTCCCTGTAACCCTAGAAGCACTCAACAACCTAGGTGTAATAGATTCTAAGCCAGACAGGTAGATTGATCCAGGATCAGAATTTTCCAGCATAGTTTTGACAGAAGAATAAGGAGTCCTTGTAGTTTGTCTAAAAATGTAGCATCAATTTGATTATCAATTGTTTGTGTTTCTCTGGCTGGCTTGTGTTTTGGCCCGTAGTGAAACTTTCTACTCCTCTGGGAAGAAGAATATATATAACTTTTGCATTCCTGCCTATCAGTTAGCAAAGTGCTATGCAGAAATTAATTCTTTTTTTTTAATTATTAAAAAAAAATTTTTTATTTTCTTTATTTATAAAAATAGATATTAAAAAATGGAACACTTCACGAATTTGTGTGTCATCCTTGCGCAGGGGCCATGCTAATCTCTGTATCGTTCCAATTTTAGTATATGTACTGCCACAGCGAGCACAGAAATTAATTCTTATGTTCTTGTTGAGATAATTTGACTTTCGGACAGGACATCTTGACTCTTGACAGAGAGAGAGACTTTTCTCATTTGTGGTCTTTAATCCCCATCTCATTATCTGACATGGACAGTGGAGGATTCATTGGTTTGAGAATGAACTCTAGGCTTAGTTTTCTGCATTAATCTTAACAGTTAGCTTTAATACTCTCCCCAGGGTAGTTTAGCTTAGAAACATTTTTGAGCTTTGCTTTCCGTGAAGGTTACATAGTTAGTATACCCAATTCTATTTGGACTAGGCTTGTGAAGACCTGGGTTTTTACATGACTGGACAGAGGGGCTGTGGTGGAAAATGTAGCCTCCTCCTTGTTTATTTTGTCAGGCAGGCAATGAAGATTATAGATTTGTTCTTATGACTCAGAGCCCTACCTGCCTCACTTTAACAAGTTCGATATAATCACCAACTTTCAGATGTGACAGTGTCCTTCAGAGTTGATCTGACCTTTATATCTAAAAGGAGTATTAGTTAGCCTTTGTCCTCTACTTGGCTTGTGTTTTTTTTTTCACTTTTATTCCAGTGTACAAGGTATTTCCTAATGTGTTAGGGCCAGCTCAGAATTGACATCGTTCTTCCCCCATTGGCACATTCTATGTCTTTGGTTGTTTGTTGTCATGTTCCCTACAGTGGGTCTTGTTTTCTGCTCCTTGTTTTGTGAAGTTGGACTCTATATCAGATAAACTTGCATGAGTCACAACGGGGAGTGGAAGATACATCTCCACTAATTTGGAGAATCTTTGATCATGTTTCACTCCCTGGTTTGGCTTGTCCAGTACAATTTCTCTCTCAACCTGCAAGAGGTGTGTGTGTGTGCACTTGTGTGTCCCTTGCCGTGGCTTCATGTACTGCCATGAATGGTTGACTTTAGGGGATGCTGCTTTGTGTTTATAGACTCCCTCTACTATTGTTATCATCATCAGCAAAAATGTCTCTGTTAAGAGCCTCTTTGAATGTAGTGTGGTATATAACACTGAGAGTTCATAAACCCTCTGTCCTCTAGGGGTTTACAGTATATGATACACATTACAAATGACAAAAGACAATAAAGAATGTGTAAGCAGTTGAACAAATAATGGATGATTACTCATTTAGCTATCATTTTCACAGTAGAAGATATCCTAAAAGGACATGTAGACAGTGAGGAAGAGGATTAACAGACAACATCATTTTCACCTCCAACTAAGACGGCAGACAGCTGCCACATGTGGCCCTTTGGTGCCGGATAATTTATCTCTGATATCCTTTCCAGTCATGCAGGACCTTTTTGCCATATTATCTCTACATCTGGGGCAGAATCCTTACAGGATCCTTGCTCTCCAGTGGTGACCTGTCACTGAAGGTGGGAGGTCCAGTTTCCAGCAGGGAGAGTACTTGGAAGGCTTGGCTCTTCTGGTACAATTATTTCTGTAACTTGAAATTTATTCCAGACCTACTGCAAACACTTGTGTGCTCACAAACATCACAGACAGAGCAGCAGCCAAAGCGAACTGCAGCCTGAGCATGGGTCAGTGTAGGGTTGGAAAGAAGCTAACTGGCCTGGCCTGAGTCACCTCTAGAGGGGAAGAATGTAGGACCTGTCCCAGCCTTTGTTGATTTCCTGAATGGAAAACAGGGACCAGTGTAGGTGGGGTATTTTGAGGTCCTCATACCTTTCAGAGGACTGGTTCATTGTTTTCATTCTTGTTCTTATTGTTATTAAGTGTAATAACAGTATTCATATAACACTGCCTTTATTAGGAAGAATGAGGAACAGCCAAGGGCTGGAATTTTTCTTTACCTGCCCTGGGTGGGAGAGAAAGATAGATGGAGCATTAGGTTCCCATCTCTCAGGTCTCCTCTCTGATTATCCTGTGGGAAGTACCTGGAAAGCAGTGAGGCAGTGGAGAGAATAGTCCAGGTCTTGGCATGAATATGCGGTTGTGAAGGGATAAGACACAGTATCTTGTGTAGCTGTGGCACAGGTGCTGTGTTAATAAGGGGCTAATAAACACAGAAAATAGTGTTTGTTGCTGTCATTAGTTGCTTCCCTTTGCTTTTGCCTGTATATGTTGTCTGATAGCAGAGCCGAAACTCCAGCATCCTTTTTTCTCCTCCTCTGTTTTTGATTCTTTTCTGACTTGAAAAGATGTATAATATATATATTCAATAAATAGGCTTGTGATGATATGGGAAATTAAATAAAAGTTCTAGAGATTGGAAAACGTAAGTGGTGATTTCATTATGGTCTTTAAATATAACAAGTGTTATAATTGTAATTTTTGTAATTCCTTAAGCCAAAAACTGCCTTATAACATGTCTTAGTTTGTTGTTACTTTTCGTGTGTTTGTCTGAGCTTCCCAGCAGTATTGTGATCTCTTTGAAGGTTTAGATTGTGTCAGATGAGTTGCATATGATATACTTCATGAATTGAGCCACTTTGCAAATGATGCTGATTGTTGTGTTTATTAGTGTTTTCAGCAATTTCCAGCACCTTTCACAATGTTTTTTTCCATGTGGTTGTCCCACAGATGTCGAATACTTGATATGTCCAAAAGGGGCACTGTTGTCCCCCTCCCTCCTCCTGGACCTGCCTCTTCTCATATGTTCCCAATTTTAGTGAATGCTTTTCCCATCCATCCAGTGGCCCAAGCCAGAAACCTGGGCTTCATGTGTGTATCCTCCCTTTCCCTCATCCTGCCTGGGCAGCCAGTCTTTCACCAAGTCCTGTTAATTCCATCTCCTGTATCTCTCTCCATCTGTCATCTCTCCATTCTGCTCTACTGCTAATACATGAGTCCAAGCTCTTATTTTCTCTTACTTGGACTGCTGTGATTGATTTCACCTGGTCTGACTTCATTCTTTCTTCTCCATCAATGTTTTACATTCTTACCAGAAAAAAACCTTCAAAAGTACAAAACAAATCTTATCTGTTCCCTGCTTAAAACTCCTCAGTTATGGGCCCGGTGTGGTGGCTCACACCTGTAATCCAAGCACTTTGCAGGCCGAGGCGGGCGGATTACCTGGGGTCGGGGTTTCAAGACCAGCCTGACCAACATGGTGAAACCCCATCTTTATTTAAAAAAAAAAAAAAAAAAAAAAAAAAAAAAGACTTCTCAGTGATTCCTGTTGCCTGTACTATAAAGTCCAAGCATACAACAAAAAGTCTGTGGTGGTCTAATCCATGCCTACTACTGTTAGTTTCCTTGCATTTTTCTCTTTTTCAGGACAAAGCTGTGCTCAGCTTCCTTAGCGTGTCAGGCTAGAGAACATCTTTATGGTTTTCTTTGCTCACGCTTTTCCTTCTGCTTAGAAGTTCTCTTTTAGCCTCACCTGCCAACATATTCCAGTTTATCTTTGTTAAGCACAGTTCAATGTTACTGTTAGGAAGCATTTCCTGACCTTCTCTTCTCACGTGGTTAATCCTCTTTCCTCCCTGCTACCTCTGCAGGTTGTATATTTTTCTGATATGCACATCACAGAGAATAGTGCCTGGCGTGTACAGGTGCTGGAGAAATGTTTGATGAATAAATGCTGTGCACACAGATTTGTTATACATGTTTACTGCATGTGTCTAAAGAGAATATAGTATTAGGTAATTATAGGAGAAATTCCAGTGAGCCTAAGGGTAATAACGTTAGATTGTTAGGATGATATGCCATTTTTGTTCTTGAAGAATTTCAAGAAGATTATAGAACACTCTCATGGATGGCTTAATTCTTCATTTGCTAAAACCAGGAAACTGAACCAGATGTTCTTCTGGGGTCCCTTTTAGATCTCTGACTTTAATCTGAATATATGGCTAGTTTTTCAACTATCTAGGATACAGTCTAAGATACTGAATGCTTTGTGTATACTAAATATATAATCTGTCCTTCTCAGAGTTTAAGACCAAAGTGTTGCTATGAGATGGAGAATTGTAATGTGCAGAATGTAATAAAGCCCCCCCCCCCTTTTTTTTGAGACAGAGTTTTGCTCTTGTTGCCCAGGCTGGAGTGCAATGGCGCCAGCTTGGCTCAACAACTTTTGTCTCCTGGGTTCAAGTAATTCTCCTGCCTCCGCCTCCTAAGTAGCTGGGATTACAGGCAGGCACTGCCATGCCTGGCTGATTTTGTATTTTTAGTTGAGATGGAGTTTCTTCCTGTTGGTCAGCCTGGTCTCAAACTCCCGACCTCAGGTGATCTGTCCCCTCGGCCTCCCTGGATTACAGGCGTGAGCCACCGTGCCTGGCCGTACAATGCACACTTCTTAAAGACAATTAAAAATTTTTTTTGTGGGTACACAATAGGTGTATGTATTTATGAGGTACATGAGATGTTTTGATACAGGCATGCAATGTGAAATAAGCACATCATGGAGATTGGGGTCTCTATCTCCTCCAGCATTTATCCTTTGTGTTGCAAACAATCTAATTACACTCTATTTTAAAATGTACAATAAAGTTATTATTGACTATAGTTATCCTTTTGTGCTATCAAACAGCAAGTCTTATTTTTTAAAAATGTGAAACACATCACGAATTTGTGTGTCATCTCCTTGCGCAGGGGCCACGCTAATCTCTCTTGTTCCGATTTTAGTATATTTGCTGCCAAAGTGAGCACTAGAATGCAAACTTCTTAAGAGTAGAGGTTTTTATTTGTGTATTAACTCATTCCCCTATCACCTCGAAGAGTGTCTGGTATAAAGTAGCTGCTTCAGTAAATATCGAATGAATGAATTGGAAATGTTAAGTTAGTTCACTCTTGTTCCCCCTAAGGAAAATAGGCATGGAAAGGAAGAATAACTTGCTCAGGCTAAAGCCATATCTCATTACCAGGTAAGTGGTTAATCACAATTCCTTTCTATGATTTGGTACTAATGTGTATTATAGACTTAACTGTGATCTCTATGAAAAGGGGTGGGGAAGCAAAAGGGAAGAAGCTAATACATATTGAGCTAATACATACATAATACTATATGCTGGGGGAGTATTTTGTCTTATTTATTTTTTGAGACAGAGTCTTGCTCTGTCTGGAGTGCAGTGGCACGATCTTGGCTCACTGTAACCTCTGCCTCCTGGGTTTAAGCGATTCTTATGCCTCAGCCTCCCAAATAGCTGGGACTACAGGTGTGTACCACTACTCCCAGCTAACTCTTTGTAGTTTTAATAGAGACAGGGTTTCGCTATTATGGCCAGGCTAATCTTGAACTCCTGACCTCAGGTGGTCCACCTGTGTCAGCCTCCCAAAGTGGTGGGATTATAGGCATGCGCCACCGCACCCAGCCAGTCTTATTTAATCATCATAAATGACATCCTATGATATAGTCCAGTAACCTTACTAGATTTTACAAGTGAGGGAACTGAGGCTTAAGGAACCTACATCACACAGTTTCGGTAAGTGACTGAACTGGGTTTCGAACACAGGCCTGATTAACTTAATTTGACCCTCTTTTACTTTAAGGCACTGGAAAGTTTTGGATTTTTTTGTCTGGGTTGCTTTAAGATTCCTAGGTCAGACTATTCTTGAAAATGTTCTGATTTCAACTATTACAGTAGAGTGACAGAAATTGTTTACCTTAAGACAACCCATGGAGCAGGGGGGTTGTGTCTGTAGGGCTCTTGAGTAAAAAAAATAATCCTGTGTTGCACATATTCCCACTCAGTTACATATAATTCAAATTTCAGACTTTCTTTTTTTTTGAGTGGTGCGATCTTGGCTCACTGCATCCTCTGTCTCCTGGGTTCAAGTGATTCTCCTGCCTCAGGCTCCTGAGTAGCTGGGATTACAGGCGCCCGCCACCAAGGCCAGCTAATCAGACTTTCTTTTTAACCAGGGATCCAGAACAACTATAGGAAGGTGATTATGTAACATACTTGGGCAGTGCAGCCACTTCTGTTTGGTAGTACTTTTTTTTTTTTTTTTTTTGAGATTGAGTCTTGCTCTATCGCCCAGGCTGGAGTGCAGTGGTGATCTCAGCTCACTGCAACCCCTGCCTCCCAGGTTCAAGCAGTTCTCTGCCTCAGCCTCCGGAGTAGCTGGGATTACAGGCGCCCACCACCACGCCCGGCTAATTTTTTGTATTTTTAGTAGAGATGGGGTTTCACCATCTTGGTGAGGCTGGTCTGGAACTCCTGACCTCATGATCCACCCGCCTTGGCCTCCCAAAGTGCTGGGATTACCGGCTTGAGCCACCGTGCCCGGCCAGTAGTACTCTTAAGCACTAAGAGCAGAAACAAAAACTGTCTAAAATGTGGGGCAGGTAGAGGAGGACAGGACTAAACCCAGTTGAAATGAGTGGTTTTAGTAAGTGAGTAGATCATAATTACCTGTGTTGCTTAGAGACCTAAACTGAGAGTGGGGGTGGGGAGAGGGCACACTCATTATCTTTGGAGAAATTATGGGAGTAAATAATCCTTAGTTTCCAGTTTATTCCAGAAGCATTTTTGCCATTCACAGTCACAATGGTGATGTGGATTTTGAACTGGACCTTTTTACCACATATCATCCAAGGTTAACATAGTTTCCTTAGTTTTCCTTAGATACCACAGCCATTCATTTTGAATGCCCTGCTAGCTTCCTGTTAGGTAGCTTTGTGTGGCCTGCCTTAGAAAGGAGGGTGAGGTCTCAGCTAAGGGGGCCAAGGAGGGGAGAGGAGAGAATAGTGAAAGTGGCAGAGAAACAAAGGACTAATAAGGAGGTTCCGCAGTCTTTTGGGAGTAGGTGTTTTTCATTAGCTAATCACTGAGATCAAGGATGGAGATGGTAATACAGAAGGAGGGGGAGTTGTAGTGATCAGAAACAGAATAGAATAACTGCATTCGGTGGCGGTCCAAGGAACAGCAGAATCTGCAGCACCTGAGAGCTTGTTAGATTTTGAGACAGTCTCACTGTCGCCCAGGCTGGAGTGCAGTGGTGCGATTGTGGCTCATCGCAACCTCTGCCTCCTGGGTTCAAGCGACTCTAGTGCCTCAGCCCCGTGAGTAGCTGGGACTACAGGTGCATGCCACCACAGCTGGCTAATTTTTGTGTTTTTAGTAGAGATGGGGTTTTACCATGTTGACTGGACTGGTATTGAATTCCTGACCTCAGATGATCCACCTGCCTTGGCATCCCAAAGTGTTGGGATTACAGATGTGAGCCATTATGCCCTGCCTGAATCAATTTTAATTTTATCAAGATTCCCAGGTGATTTTTAATTTTTTCTTGAGTCTTTTCAGAGTCTTTCTCTGTTGCCCAGGTTGGAGTGCAGTGGTGCGATGACAGCTCACTGCAGTCTGGGCTCATGTGATCCTCCCACCTCAGCCTCCCAAATAGCTGGGACTACAGGCTCGTGCCACCATGCCTGGCTAATTCTTGTGTGTTGTTTGTTTGTTTTTTTTCCCCAAGACAGAGTTTTGCTCTGTTGCCCAGGGTTGGAGTGCAGTGGCGCAATCCCGGCTCACTGCAACCTCTACCTCCAGGGTTCAAGCAATTCTCCTGCCTCAGCCTCTGGAGTAGCTGGGATTACTCTGGAGTAGCTGGGATTAGCCAACGCATGCCACCATGCCTGGCTAATTTTTATTTTTAGTAGAGACAGGGTTTCACCGTGTTGGCCAGGCTGGTCTCGAACTGGCTGGTCTCGAACTCCTGACCTCCTGATCCACCCACTTTGGCCTCCAAAAGTGCTGGGATTACAGGCATGAGCCACTGCGCCCGACCAATTCTTGTATTTGTTTTTGTAGAGATGGAGTTTTGCCATGTTGCCCAGGCTGGTCTCAAGCTCCTAAGTTCAAGTGATCTGCCCACCTCGACCTCCCTAAGTGCTAGAATTACAGGCATGAGCCACTACGCCAGGCCCCCAGGTGGTTCTTTAATTTGATTCTGTGCCCCATTAAAGTTTGAGAAGCACCAAGTTTGTGATTAGGTAATGAGTGCAGGGGGCTTTGGAATTGGACAGACTTGGGATTGAAACCTGGTTTGGCCATTTACTACCTTTGTGATTTTAGATAAGTTATTTGAACTCTCTGTGACAGTTTCTCATCTGTATAATAAGGGAACTCCCTATTTCATAGGGTTGTTGGGGAGAGTAAATGACATGGTGCATTTTGCAACTGAAAGTATTTTAGATTTAATGAAATTTAGTAATGACTGTAACATATTAAGCACTGAGCCTAGCACAGCCTAGCATATTCAATAAGTGTTATTACTAATAATTAAATTAGGCAAATTTGCAGAAATAAAGAGGCTTTTTCCTCTTCCTCTTTTTCATTATCTCAATAAGTACATTTATCTGCAGTTTTATAAAGCTGTAGTGTGTGTGTATACTCTGGTGTTTTGTCTAGCATTATTTAATGATAGTTACAGTAGCAGCATTTAACACATCTTGTACTTAATAATGTGCCAGGCATTATTGTTATGTACTTTATGCATATATTATTTCATTCAGTGCTTAGAGCAACCATGTGAAATAAATATTATTATCTCCATTTTCAGATGAAGAAACAGAACAAACAGGGTAAGTGACTTACCCAAGATCAATCCATAGCCAGTCAATGGCAGAATCAAGATTTGAACTGGGGCACTCTGATTCCAGCATCTGTGCTCTATTTTTCATGTATTGCTATTGCTCTCAAACTTATGTGATGTAATGGAAATCAGGCAACTTTGATTGGATACTTGATTCTGCCACTAATTTATTTGTGACCTTGGTCAAGTCACTTATCGTCTTTGGGCCCATTTTCTTATTATAAAAATGGAGGGATTATCAAACTCGAAGAAAAGCAATTAAACAAAAAAATACAAAAAATGAAAAAAAAGCCCCACAAAAATGGAGGGATTAGATGAGATTTATAAAGATTCTTCAGTGATTCATTCAACACGTGACTTCAATCAAAGGTTGGAAGAAAATTATACTTAGGGAATTGGTTCAGAAGTACTTGTTTAAGCAGGTTGGTGTCATTAAGAGCAAGGGGTTTGAATCTTGACTCAGACCCTTCCTGGCTATGTGACCTTGGGCAACTTAATCTTTCTAAACAATGATTTCCTCATTAGTAATGGGGAGAATAGTTCCTACCTTGCAGGGATATTGTGAGATTTGAATAAGATAATGCGAATTAGCACTTAGCATGTGTGAAACACACAGTGGATACTCAGTGTCCGTGAGTTCTCTTTTCTTCCTTCCATTCATTCAGTGGATGGTTAGGGAAGCGATACACCAGATTCAAGAGGATTTAGACCCTGGCTTGATCCTTCTGTCCTTTTCCGTAATGGCATTCTCACCTTTGGGAGATGAGAATTAGTAGGGAAGGAAGTGTGCATATAGACAGGTCCTGTCTGTTTTTAAATAATCCATGTTTTGATTTTAGATTAAAATTTCTTTTTACAATATACAATTTAGGCCAGGCATGGTGGCTCATGCCTGTAATCCCAGCACTTTGGGAGGCCTAGGTGGGCAGATCACCTGACGTCAGGAGTTCAAGACCAGCCTGGCCAACATAGCGAAACCTCATCTCTACTAAAAATTCAAAAATTAGCCAGGCATGGTGGTGCATGCCTGTTATCCCAGCTGCTTGGGAGGCTGAAGCAGGAGACTTGCTTGAACCCGGGAGGCGGAGGTTGTAGTGAGCTGAGATCGCGCCACT